TGTAAGGTGGAATTTGGATGGACGTGTGTCATCAACTAAAAACTACAGAACTCTAGCCTTACGTTCATTTTTCTGTCCCACATCTTGGATTCTGAATCACACATAGAGTGTGCTGCTCCCTGTAAACTTATTTCCTCTAACTTTTTATTAAGTGTCAAATAATATTTTTTGATTTGTTATATGTAGCCATTTATTTCATGATCTAAAAATGTAGGTACTTTCTGGAGACTACAAATGTCTGAAAGACAAGCCTTGCTCTCAAAGACTACATAGTATTGAGGGGAGAGAAACATTCATATAAATCTAGCTATGAGGGGTAAAAAAAAATAGGTTCAAAAAAGGCAGAGGTAGGAAAAATTTAATTCTCACTGGAGAAATTACTCAACTCCACTCCTCAGAGAATAAGCCCGTTAGCCAAGTCTGGAAAGGTGAGGTGGCTTCCACTGAACAAGTGAGATGTCTGTGGTTCCCGAGTTAAGTGGGTGAGAAAATTGCTGTTAGGGGTTCAGGAGGAGCCGAAGGATGCAGAGCAGTGGGTCTCCAAAGGCGTTTCTTCACGCAAAGCAGGAGTTGAACTCTGAATGCTTATTCATTCTGAGCTACTTTCAAGTTGCTTTCTAGCCAGCAAAGAAGATGATGTCCATGCTGTGTGCTAATCAAGCCAACAACTGATAATAAGACACAAAAACAGAGAATCAGATCAAGGTGGCTTTAGTCCGAAAAAACCAAATTATCCATCTTATGGGTTGGGAAGAATGTTAGATTATTGACTCATTTACCTCCCAGGGCCAAGCAGGATTCAGAGAAAGATGTCACTGCCTTCCCCTCCCACTTAGAAATGGCGGGTGGCACACACTCAAAATCTACTCATCGCTGCACCAGAAGAGAAGCGGAGTGGAAGAAGAAACCAGAGTTTGTGAACAGATTCTTAACCATTTGTTCCTTTATGCATCCAGCAAAAGCGAACATTGCTGACAGTTGTGTCTGCAGCACCACACATTCTCTTGGATTTGTTTTTCCTTTTTAGTAAAGGTATTCTGGGTTAGGTAACTTGATTCACTGAACGCTCATCTGGAGACTCATCTTGGAATCCCTTTCTTGGAACAAGGTTGAAGCAGAGGTTAGAACTGGGACCAGGTTAAAATTTGTCCACAAAGGTGCTTGGTATGTGAAGTACTTCCTCTCCTGCCAAGCACTATTCCTCAACAAATGATGTTTATGCGAAGCTCAGACCCTGTTTGTCTCCTTTTAATGTTCCTTAGGAGCACGGCCCTTATCTAGTCAGACTGGCTTTTGAATGGGGCCATCTCTGATCTTCTGTTGTCAGTTCTAAAAAAGCAATTTGATCACAGGCAGGCATGGTCCTGGGATTCTATTGAGTTGGGATGGTTTTTGTTAGAGAGAATGCATTATTTTCTACATAGCCTAAACTCCAAGTAATGAATTTAGGAGAATAAGTATCTTGGCTATTATGTGCTATCTAGCTGGCCGCTAAAGCTCTCTGCCTTTTGGTTTCTATGCCTTCACATGATCTCCCCTATTCTTAGGAAAATACATGGTGAGGGGCTATCACTTCCAGATTAGGTTTCAACTCTGTGATTCACGTCTTGCTAGTGTTCTATTTTTCACTGGTGCTCTCTCTCATCTATGGTTCTTCTTGTGTGCTTGCCTATTCTGGGAAGCAACTTGCTATATTTTGAGTTGCCCTATGGAGAACCCATATGGCAAGAAACTGGCCAATAGCCAGTGCTCAAATGAGGTCTTTAATCCAAAAGTTTTCAAGGAACTATCAGCCACTCTGCAGGTGAATGAGTAGATCTTTCCACAGTTGCACAGTGAGATGACTGTAGCCTGTGCCAGTCCCAGCACCAGAGACCCAGCCCAAAGTACTGCTCTACAGAAATAGAGATAATAATTGTTCCAAGCTATAAGATTTCTCATAATTTGCTACACAGCCATGGAAAATTATAGAAGAAAGTAAGGCTTGGGGATGGGCCACAAAGTTTATAAAGAGGATGTGTATTTATATTCGTATCCATCTGAATTGCCAAACTAGACAGGACGTTTGTGGCAGATGTCCTACATATACTGCTTTATAATCACGGCAACAACCTGGTAAAGGTGTTATTAGTCAAATGTTTTGAAAGAAATTGGTATTATGGAAATTCTGTTATTTGGTTTAGAACATACAGCTAGAAGACAATAGAGAGAAGAGAGAAAACAAAGCTTTTCCAACTCTGAAGCCTGTTTTCTCTGCATTAGAGAGGCACTTAGAGGTGAGGGAGAGAGTGAAGAGAGTAGAAATTGGAATCACCTCTGTTTCTTTTTAAAGTTACTTATGTCCCTTTCTTTCTTTGGAGGTCATGACAATTCTAACTGAATTGGTATACTGCATCCCCAGAAAAGTAGAGCTTACACAAGCTCAGGTTATCCTTTTCAGCTTAGGCTTGGTTTAAGAAAATAAATATTTCATATTCCAAGCAGGTTCTGACTGAAGATCTAATAGTCTATGGAATCCTCTGTAGTGGTTAACAAGGTGATTGTGTGGCTTTGATATTCTGACATTAGGTTTTCCTAATGAAAAATAAAGCCACAGACAAAACCAAGACAAAACAATGGCACCCAGAGCACCAGTCCTTGATAGGCTCAACTTATTGTCTGATGGGTACTAGACATTATATATCACCTAGAAACAAGAGTTGGCTGTGATGACTTGTGTGTAGATGTCCCTTCAAAGCCTCATGTGGTCATAGTTGGGCTTTTTCAAAGGTAGCTGGATCTAGAGTGTGTGACACTGGAATTGATTCATAGTGCAATGCTAGGATCAAGGGCACTAGGATTAAGGGTGTGAGGGCTGCCCATCCTAACTAGCCAGGGTAAGATCTAAGGAATAGGAAGAGCTGTAGTCATCCCTTGTTCCTTTGCTACCTTCTGCCCACCATGAACTGTTTTTTCTCTGCTATGATTGTGTACCATACCACCCCACCTTGGAACCTGCTGACTATGACCGAAAGCTCTACAAATGGTGGGCTAAATAAACCTTTCCTCCCTTAACTTTCGGCATTGGGTATTTTGTCTCCGCAATGAGAAGAGTAACTAAGACATTAGCTAAATGAGTTTGGCTAAATAAGGACAAGTTAGGAGTAGTGTGTATATGTGGTAAGTGCTGCTTGCATTTTGTGATGAGAACAAATATGAAAAAAGGAAGAGAACAGTACATTGCAACATTTCACCTTAGGAAGATTAGGGCAACCTTTGGTGTTCCCATGGTAGCTTCTAAGCCGAATAAGCAGCTTTAGAATTGATTTGACCAGGACTCTGTCTGACCAGCTTCAACACTACATCCAAAGTCTGTCTTCTGCTCATTAGCTCCTGCAAAAGCTTTGTCATCCTGGTTCTTATGCAGGTCACAGCCTTGTTTCCAAAGAAGTGGCTTCATCACCCATTTTAAGGAAGGACTTCATGATTAACTGATAAAGTCCATAGGCTCTCCTCCGGCAGGTGATTGGAGTAGTTTCTTCAACAACATCCTATTGCCTTATTGCTTTGCTTTGTTTTCTTTTCCCTTCCCTTTCCTCTCTCCCTTCCCCTCCCCCTCCCTTCCATCTTTCCTCCCTCCTTGTACATAGGGTCTTGTGGGTCAAACACTCTACCTCTGAATTATACTCTACACTCTGCCCTCACCCGAGTTACAGGCCTACCTCACCACCTCATTTCCGTTTTGCACTTTTCTATGGCAACACTACTCATTCTGGTGGCCACCAGCCACGTGAAGCTATATATCACTTGAAATGCAGTTAATGAGACTGAAGAATACAATTTTTCACTTAATCGAATTTCAATTAAAGTTGAATGATGATATGTAGCTGGTGACTGTTGTGTTGGATAAGGGGATTCTAGAAGCTTGTCTCATTATGTTGATTTTTAAAATTTGTTTTCAGTGCATACTTAAAGAATATTTCCAGGTATTGAGGAGATACTCCCTAATAAGTCACACGTGTAAATACCGAATAGTTTCTCTGGTGTGAACAAACTATAATAGTACATAAAGATCCTCATGAGATTATTGATACTGTGAAATAGGAAGAAAAGGGCTAAAAGTGTAGGGAAAGTGGGAAGGGTAGGGGAAGGGAAAGAAGGGAAAGAAAAAAAATAAGAGAAAATAAAAAATGGAAATAAAATGCTTGTAAGTGGGGAGGGGAGGAGGGGGTGAAGGGAGGGCAGGGACAAGGGGAAAAAATGAGAACCAAGACTTGTCATGTAGAGGTACAAGATCCCAATGATGAATGTATCTGTACTGTATACTTAAAATGTACCAATAAACTCAATGAGAAAAAAAAATATTTCCAGGTACCAGGCACTATATCCTTAGCTTCTGCCTATATTAACCCAATGTTTGGAAAAACTTAATGAGGACTATTATTTATCTTTGAAAGCAGGAAGTTGAATTATGGAGAGATGAACTAGCCTGCCTCAAATTGCACAGGCACAAGACAGGACTCAAAATATAGTCTGTCTATCGCCAGTGTATGTTTGTTGTACACAAAAATGAGGCTAATATAATAGGAACGGAGGGTAAAAAACAAAACAAAATGGGTTCATGGCAATTAAAACATAACCCTTGTATATTAGTCAGCTTTTGCTTTACTGGTACATGGTACCCAATACCCACAACTTTTAGGAGTCAAGGTGTAATTTTGCTTTAGCAGTTTGTTTCAGGAATTCAGTCCATGCTTGGTTTATGTGGCAGAAATATCACGGTCCAAGGGCATGGCAGAGCAAAGGCAGTGAGGCAGAACAGGAGAACAGCTCCAGAGAGGAAAGATCAAGGGACCAGATACAGTACACAGGTAATGCTTCCACGGCCCACCCAGATGCACCCAGAAACATGGCCTGCATCCCTTCTCAAGCCATTCAAGTTGACGTAATCGAGCTTAACAGTCACACCTTGTTATAATGTTTTCTTTCATTTTATTGATTATTATAAACATGTTGGCCAAAGAAAATATGTTAGTTCATAAATAACCCAATTGAAAGCTTTCACATCATATATTATTTTCCACAAAATGCATCTATGAAAATGATCAGTGAACTTAAAAAATCTATAATGTGCATAGTTATGCTTTTGTGTCACTAAATACAAATAGTAAAAATACTCATCTATTGTAGGAATATTGGTTTGTGGTATGCATTAGGAGAGGTCTTAACACAAAGAAGAGATATGCTGTGGACTCAAATGGCTCCTCTGTGGGTAATTACAGAATATAAAAGGTTCACAATGAGTGTTTACTGGAGGTGAAGATGATGAGAATTCAACTTTCTGATGGTCTTCTCTCCCCATTTTTCTTAAGGAATACATAGTGTACTTGCAGTCAACATTCTCAAAATCAGAGGCACATCAGCTGCAGTGAAACTGGGTCTGATCACACTTGCAGAAAAGAAATAAAGCATATATACTCCTAGGTGCTAAATAGTTTATGTGAGTTACGGAGGCTTTTCCTAGAACAGGCATGAACTTTTGAATACTTTGCATCTTCATAAGAACACTGTCAATATCTAAAAATCAAACAAGCCATTCAGAATAAATCTAGCCTTTAGAACTCACTCAGAATTAGACTGTCTTCAGTCAGATCAATGTATTCTAGGGTGGCATGTAAAAGTAAAACAAACTACTTATACTAAGTTTCTAAATTATAAGTACAGATACTGTAACTTATAGTTTGGGATATTCCCTTTGATTGTTTTATTCAGCAAAATTCTTCTAATTTTTGGATTTCATTAAATTATGATGACATTAAACATTTTAAGTTTAATGGCAAAGTGACAAAAATGCCTGATCATCTATTTCCAATGTCCAGCATACAGTTTTTAAATACACAAATATATGTTAAGGTCTTTTTCAGCAAAATATGCCACATGGGAATTATTTATTAAATGCTTTTACATCCAAAGGTAGGCACTTCGTAAGTCTTGCAACCATTGATGCCCAGTATCTTATCATTGATTGCAGTATCTTATTATTTTTATCAACTGTGAAACTTTTTCAAGAGAACCAACTATCAAAATTTTATAAAACCAGAACAACATTATGGCTCAGTTATATGTGAATGGAATCCAATTTTATTTTTTCCTTTTCTTTTTGTAAACCTGTTGTATATTTTTGTGATCAAGTTCTGAGATATTTGCTACCTAATATAAAATCCATTGGAATATTTAGCTTCTTATCTTACCCTTGAAGTATTCATTGCCTGAAAAACTTCTTTCAGTTTCTCCCTACAGTTGGGATAACCATGAAAATCCCCTGACTAAGGCCAGCATTTAGGCAGCGGTAGTTGGCATTGAAGAGCTCTTGGCTTCTAGCAACTGTTGAGTCTCTTTGATCCTAATTTAACTCTGAAATTAAGTAAACAACATTCAATTTTTGTTTTTACTGCCAGAGATACAGAAATTTACACTACCTAAACATTTGAGTGGAATTTTTGAGGCCCAGTGGACCCATCTACCATTTAATTTATGTATCTCTTCTAGAGCATTGCTTTATGAGATGTCAAGATTTTGTTTGAAGTTTTGTTAACCGGGAGCTTCACAAAGCAATCTAGTCAATAAGAAAGCTCCAACAACTCCTTTTCCTATAGGCATACCTTGGAGATATGACAATTTCAGTTGCAGACCACCACAATAAAGCAAACATCCCAATAAAGTGAGTCATTCAAAATTTTTTAGTTTCCCAGTGCATATTAAACCTATATTCACACTATACTATTTAGTGGATAATAGTGTTATGTTTAAAAAAATCAATGTATATATCTTAATTGACATGCTTTACTGCTGAAAAGTGCTAATGAGCATCTGGGGCTTTAGTGGGTCATAATCCTTTCTCTGGTGGAAGCATTTAACTCCATATTGATGGCTGCACACTGATTAGAGTGGTGGTTGCTGAGGACTGTGGAGGCTGTGGCAATTTCTTAAAATAAGATAACAATGAAATTTGCTGCATGGATGGACTTTCCTTCGTGTTTCTCCAAAACATACAATGCTGACAGCATTCTATCCACAGTAAAAAATCTTTCAAAATTGGAGTGAATTCTCTCAGACCGTGCTGCTGATTTGTCCAGTAAATGTCATACTTCCAGTGTTTTGTTGACATTACAACATTCACAGCGTCTTCACTAGAAGGAGAGTCCACGGCAGGAAGCCATTTCTCTCATCTGCCAGAAGCAGCCCCGAACCTGTGGATGCTTTGTCAGCCATGGCAGCAATCCAGTGGTGTCTTCAGGCTGCACTTCTCATCCAGTTCTCTTGCTACGTACACCACATTCGCACTCACTTCCTCTAATAAAATCGGGACTTGTCAAAATTATCCATGAGGTTTGGCATTGGCTTCTTGCAAACTTATGAACGGTGATATTTTGACCTCCTTCCCTGAATCATGAATCATTATGATGTCGTTTAGAATGATGAATAATTTCCAGAAGGCTTTCTATTTACTTTTCCCTGCTCCATCAGAAGCATCACTTTCTATGGCAGCTACAGCCTCATGAAAGGTATTTATTAAATAAGATGTAAAAGAAGAAATTACTCCTTGATCCATAAGGCACTGAAAGGATTTTGTATAGCAGGCATGAATACAACGTTAATCTTCTTGTATATCTCCATCAAAGCTCTCCGGTAATGAGATGCATTGTCAATGAGCAGTAAGTTTTGATAGGCATCATTTTTCCTGAGTGGTAAGTTTCAGCAGCTTAACTTCCTCAATAAACCATGCTGTAAACAGGCTTTCTTGTTAGGCCGCAGAGAGTGCAACTAGTATAATTCCCAAGGGCTTTAGGGTTTGAGAAATGATAAATGAGAACTGGCTTCAGCTTAGTCACCACCTGCAACAGCCCCAACAAGAGAATCCGCTTTTCCTTTGAAGCTTTGAAACTAGACATTGTCTCACTATAGAAGTCTTGGGTGGCATCTTCTTCCCATATAAAGCAGTTTCAACTACACTGAAAATTTATTGCTCAGTGTAACTATTCTATGATCTTCTCTGTGACTTGCTGCAGCTTCTTCTACATCAGCAGTTGCTGCTTCACTTGCACTTTTGTGCGATGGAAAGAAAAGGCTTCTGTCCCTAAGCCCCACAGACCAAGCTCTGTTAGTTTCCAACTTTTCTTCTGCAGCGTCTGCTCCTCTCTCAGCCTTCACTGAACCAAAGAAAGCCAGAGCTTTGCTTGGGGCAAGGATTTGGCTTGAGAAAATGTGGTTGGTTTGATTTTCCATCCAGACCACTAAAACTTTCTCCACGCTAGCAATAAAGCTATTTTCTTTCTTATCATTCAGATGTTCACTGGAGTACCATGTATTTTCTTCAGTGAAGAACTTTTCGTTTGTGGCACAAAGGCCTAGCTTTTAGTCCATCTCAGCCTTCTACGTGCTCTTCTCACTTGGCGTACTCATTTCTAGCCGTGTGCGACAGATGTGTAACTCCTGTCAACTTGAACACTTAATTAATTGGTCTAATTCCAATATTGTTGTGTCTTGGGTAATAGGGAAGCCCAAGGAGAGGGAAAGAGATGAGGAATGGTTGGTGAAGCAGTTAGAACTTACACGATATTTATCAATTTATTATATGGGCATGGTTCGTGGTACAGTGATACCAAAGGTTACTGACGATAGACATCTTAACGGATAAAATACTAGTGAAAAATTGCAAAAATGTGAAATAGAAGATGCATTTGGGCACACGCCGATGGGAAAATGGGGCTGCTTGTTGCAAGGTTGCCACAAACCTTCAGTTTGTAAGACGCAGAGGATCCACAAACTACACTATAGTAAAGTGCATTAGAATGAGGTATGCCTATACTAAAACCAAACTACCCTCCTGGTAATTTCCATCCAGTGCCTCAAACCGTGCCAGGCAAATAGAAAGCTCTCAGGCACTCAATATACATTTATTGATGAATGAAAGAAAGGAAAACTCTAGTTTTGACTTTTAAAACTGCATAGAATAAAGCTGTTTCTTTGTAGACCAGGCCATTATTCTCTTGCCTTCATCAGTACTGGAATATCCTTCACCTAGTGCTTAGCATGACTGTCAGGTGTCCTGTCAATCTTACTACTTTTTCCTGAATGTGCTTACGTGGATCCGGGAGATGTCTTAAAATGCAGTTCCATAATTCTCCACGCGGGGTTAGCTCTGAGCAGGGTAGCAATCCTGCATCCTTCAGCATGGGTGGTCCACATCTGGCCCCAAAAGTATTCCTAGAACAATCCTTTCTTGCCTGTTTCTGAGTAGAAACATTTTACTCTGGGCAAGATCACTGGCTGGCCCTTATTCTGTTGTGAGAGAAGGGTTACTTCCTTGAACTTCCAGGGTAAGGAGGGGGTGGCGAGCGCTGTGCCGAAGCCTGTGGTGTTGGGGAATATGGAGGAGGCAAGTCCGCACGATACTCCATCTCCTGGTCGTGAGTGTAGGGCGGTGGTGCCACTGAAAAAGAAAAGGAAAGAAGGTCAGGATTCAGCAAATAGCTAAGTGTTTACTGTGTTTAAACTACTGGCTTAGATACTTCGAGAGAGACCATTATTTTGTTTGCAAAAATCATACTCTTTTTTTTTTTTTCCAACTGGAGGGAACGTGTATGAAGGGGTGTGTGCTCTGAAATGTGGGTCACAGTGCTTGAAATTGTTGGCTTAGCAAAATTTTTTGGAAGTATGATGCTGAAGAGGGCCAGAGAGAAGAAGCTGGGGAACAATTCAAGTTCAAGCAGCACAGAAACAGAAGTGCACTTTGTGCTTAAGCAAAAAAATATAGGGCAGGGAGAAACAGGAAAGGCGTCATCACCGTGGTGGGCTCTGACTGTCACATGTGATGCAGGGTTAGCAGAGATTTTTTTTTTTTTAGTATATTTGAGAATACTCTTTAGGAAGATGACTCTGCAATATGCATGGAAGGAGACTGCAGCGAAGGCAGAGCTGACGTGGTAGCACACCTGAAAGATTATAAGGGCCTGATGACCATGAGGGGAAGACATTTGTAAGAGTCCCAAGTAACCAAGGGCTTAAGCAGTGACCAGCTAGATAGAAAATGAGTGAGGGACTAGAAGAAGAGGTAAGGCTACTGTACTGAGTACTCAGTATGGGACTCCTATAACTTGGAGGATGGTGTAGCCATTATAGAAATGAGGGGAAAAAAGTGTGGGAATGATTAAGATCTTAATTATCTAGGTCCTATTTAATTTGTTTCTTTATATATTACTCTATTATATGCGAGAGTTTTAAATCATCTTTAATCCACTTTACCATGTCTATATGTGGTTGACTATTTTGCAGTGAGCTCATGTCCCCTCCCTGGGGTTGGAAGAGACATTCCTTGAGCTGAATTTCACTGGTACCTTTGCGAGGTAAATCATTCTGCAATATCTGAACAAGCTCTCAGCAGCCAAGCTGAAGAGGTGCCAGAGAATCCTTGATTCCACTGGGAAACTGACATGCCTTAGTTATTGTAAGTGCGACCTAAATCTCAAGACTAGCATCTCAATAATGCAGCTAAATGGCCAAACTTTCCAAGTTAGAGTGGCAGAAAAGAACAAGTGCAATTTTAACAAACTTATCCCTAAATGTCTGCAGAGTCACGCCATCTCCAGAAGGAATGTGATATTACTCTGATAAACAGGCATCTACAGACATAGGGTCCAACTGGTGAGCAAACGCAAACTATGTTTTTTTCTGGATCCTTCTGGCTAAGAGCTTGATGACTGGAGTTCTTTACTAATCTCCCTGTTCGTGGAGAGTGTGGGAAGCAGAACTGAGTCACCTGAGGAAAGAGGAAGGAGTCACAGAACTGAGTGGGATGTTACCCGAGCACTGCTCTATTAGTAAGTACAGTATCGATTTGGCTGAGCTGGCTGAGAACTCTCAGTGGAGAACATAGCCTTGTAAAGAAATCGGTGATGATGCTTTTATTATCTCCAATGCACCTTCACACCTAGGCTCCTCTAAGCTCTGTTTTCTACAATGAAATGGGATTTAACCTGTGGAATCTACATTCATTAGCTGAATTTTATACCCACTCTGCCACTTTATTAAATCTAGCAAGGCTGAGAATAAAGATTGATAATAAACTTCATCCCAACAGAGAAAGGAAACAGTGCAGCTTCCATGCAGAATAGGAGGTTCAGACTGGTTGCTCACTGATCTGTCTGCTTTAAGAATGTGGTTCTGCACTGCTTTTCCACTGATGCCTTCCCCTACCTCTTGCTTGAGGAGCACAGGCAGACTGATTTTGCGGATTGCTCTACATCACTCCCTGTCACGAACCCATGGTGTGTGTTTATGGGTCTGTAACAAAGCATTTACATCCTGCCATCTGCATAAAACAGGCTGGAGGACGTTTCAATGAGAATCCTCATGGTTTATGCAGCTGCATGTGAACATGAAAATCTCTGCTATGAAGCAACATTCTTTTACTTATGTAACCTATGAATTGGATAAAAGGATGAAATAAGGATGAAAAATGGTATTTTGGGTTGATCCATCATGAAATAAACATGACACATGATTTATAATGTCAGTCACTGGAAGAACATTTTGAAATAATACATGTACAGTGGTGAACTGTTATCTTTCTTGCTGGTAATTAAGTTTCACTAGGAAGTAAATGTTTCAAGGTATTGATTTAAGAATTCCTTGTTAACCAGCAGAGGTATTATTCTTTGCTACAGGTCAAATAATGTTTGAAAGATGTGTGGATAAAGCTGGAGATATGGAACCTTTTAAATTCTTTCATAATCAGTATCCAAATTTGTCACAATAATAGATATGTCATTTATCCTCAAAGTCTGATAAAGTTTCTACAATATGAAAAAACCCAAGGAGCATTATTCAGAGAAGAAATATCTTTTCAACCTTTTCAGACCAACATCTCTAAGAAAAATAGCATTATCAAAACCATTCAACATTATTTTAGAAAATTTAGAAACAGAAGAATATCATCCAGAACTTTGTCAACTCTATTTAACAAATGAAATCTATATTTGCTAGTTATTTGTGTGCATTTATATCTGTATAATCACAGAAAACAGTATGTGTTTTTCACTTTGTGTTTTGACATGTCTTTTTTACTCTGCTACATGTTCTTCATAAACTTTATTGTTAATGACTATATGTTTTTTCACTTACAGTTCACTTATTTTGAGGTCAAAGTTTTTACTATTATAAATAAGGAGTGAAGAATAGTGTCTTTTTTTTCTCATTGAGTTTATTGGTACAATCTAGGTATACAGTACAGTTACATTCCTTTTTGGGATCTTGTACCTTTACATGATAGGTTTTCGTTCTTATTTTTTCCCCTTGTCCCTGCCCTTCCTTCACCCCCTCCTCCCCTCCCCATTTACAAACATTTTATTTTTATTTTTTCATTTCTCCTATTTTTTCCTTTCCCTTATTGCCTTTCCCCTACCCTTCCTACTTTCCCTACACTTTTAGCCCTTTTCTGACTATTTCACTTGTCAATTATCTCATTAGGATCTTATGTACTATTATAATTTATTCACAACAGAGAAACTATGATATTTACATATGTGTGACTATTATCTAGAATACATAAAGAACTCAAAACAATCATCCCCTCCCACATATAAGCACCCAATTTAAAAATGGGCATCTGAAATGAACAGACATTTCTCAGACAAAGAAGTAAAAACAGCAAGTAAATATATGAAAAAATGTTCCACATCACTGGTCATTCGAGAGATGCAGATGAAAACAGCATTGAGATTCCCCCTCACCCCATTAAGAATGGTTGCTATCAAGAAATCACACAATAACAAATGTTGGCGGGGTTGTGGGGAGAAAGGAACCCATCTCCATTGTTGGTGGGATTGCAGACTGGTGCAACCACTATGGAAATCAATATGGAGATACCTCAAAGAGCTTGGACTGGAGGTTCCATTTGACCCAGCCATCCCTCTGCTGGGTATCTTTCCAAAAGAACTAAAAGAATCATATCACAGGGAAGTATGCGCACCCATGTTTATAGCGGCACAGTTTGAAATAGCTAAAACTTGGGAACAGCCCATTTGCCCATCAGTTGAAAACTGGATAAAGAAGATGTGGTTTTTCTATGAAATGGAATACTACTCAGCCATAAAAAATGAGAAATTAGATTCATTAATAGGAAAATGGATGCATATTGAGGATATACTCCTAAGTGAAATAAGTAAGGATAGTTTCTTATAAAAACTTTCTTTTTTTTTTAGTTTGAATTATATTTTAAGAATAAAATCCTAGAATTTGACTAACTGCCTAAAATAGGATATAAATTTTATTGCTTAGGGACATTATGAAACTATTCTTAAAAGAATTGTTGAATCTAGTTAGGGTACCAGTAAGGCAAACGCATACTGTCATTTACAACTTTAGTAATTTAATATGTGAAATAAAGCCCTTCATTGTATCATTTCTTTGATAATAGCAGAGTATACATTCTTCCATTTTGTGTCTACTGTTTGAAATTCATATTCAGTAAATTGTTTTTGGTTCTGGATGGGTGGCTCATGAATTAGGCTTTTAACTAGAATTAAAATATAATTGAGGGGACAGGATGTAGCAAACATACAAAATTGAATATTGTTATTTTAAGAAAACTTTGTCAAAAATGCCTGTTTTATCTTATGATTTTTACCTGACGGACATACTGAAGTTTAAAATTTGTCCATGACAAACTATTTTTTCATGTTTTTCCTACTGTTGTTATTATTATTATTATTATTTTGGTATCAGGGATCAAACTCCGGTCCTTGTGCTTGCAGATGTTTATTATTTCATTGGTGGTGTTTATAAGCCTAAAAGTTAGTCTTTTTTCACATATGTTACATAATCAATCTGAGATTATGTATAAACATTTATATATTTAATTCTTCTTGTAAGAATTTCTTTTGTTCTATTTTTGCATCTATGTTTATTTTTCTCAGTTTTAAGATTTCTGTCAAGCCCAATTAAATGTAGCATATCAAACAGTCATTGCTTTTTGTATTGTTTTGCTGTTTCCTTTACAGTGTGTAAAATTTTAATCTCCCTGTTCTATTTCAATGACCCAGTTATATTTTTGTACCCAAATGCCTCATTTTAATCATTACTGATTTTAAATAGTTTTGATATCTAGTAGGAATGGTGACTTTTATGACTGATGATATTTTTAAAGACAATTTCTAACACTATGCTGAAATGCAAACCTTTCTTCCATTCTCCTGCATTTACTACTCAGGATTCACCTGAGGTCCATCCAAAGAGAGGATTTTAATAAAGGCTCACAAAGCTACTGGCAAGGACCCTTCTGTGTCATCCCAGTCAAACAAAATACTTGGCCTAAGATGCCGAGATAATACAAAGGATTGTTTTTCTTCCTCCCAGATAAAATCAACAAAGTCTTTTATGTTTTACATCCCCTTGTCACCATGAGAAAGACAACTGTGGGCGCTGAACCAAAAA